GGGGGGGGAGCCGGACAAAGGGCGTCGTTATGCGAATGCGCTGGAATGCGTTCACGTCGGCGCGTCCCTCCCAGGACCCGGACCCCGCGGGCCCCCGTCCACGTATGCACGGAACTCATCCTGCCCGCCTATTCAAACGTGGGCGCGCGGGGTTGGGGCCGTGCATCGGGGGGCGCTGGAGGGGGGCAGCGGGCCCGAGCCAGAGGCCCGCCAACGGGGCCAGCCAGCACCCAGCCCCAAGCTGCGCAAGAAATCGTCTCGTGCACCCTGACACCCTGGGAGCGTGGGAGGCGCGCGTGAGGCGAGCGTGGGTGGCAAGGGGGCGGGGGCAAAAAGGGGGTTGTCCTGCTCCCACTCGCCGCTTTGGCTGAGCCACGCGTTTGCGTTCCGCGCTGCCCGCGGTTCGCCTCTTTTTATTGCCCCCCCCTCCCCGGCCAGTCGAGAAAAACAAAACCAACACACGCACGTTACTCTCAGGGGTTGGGAGTCACTCTTGTTGTTGCTGTCTGGTTCTAAAAAAACAACCCCGCAAGGTTTGCGAGACTAGCACGGCGTCGATCAGTGTTGTCCACCACTTCGTGTCCATCACGGCGGCCTCTGTAAGCGATGCCCCTGGGCCTTGTCTTGATCCGGGCGCTCCCGGCGCGCGCGTATCAAAAATTAAAATCAACACCTAACAGCTATAATATCACGTTTCAGAACAATCAAAATACGAGATCTCTAGTCAATCACGACGCACTGTCAGCTCCTGTCCTGGCCGGCGGCCTCTTCCTTGTCCTTCTTCTCCTCCTCGTCGAGGGCCGCGGCCGCCGGGGCTGCGCTCGGGCCACAGTCTGAGGACTTCCGCCGCCGCACCGTCACGTCGCCCGTCTCGGGCGCCTCCAGGGAGTGCGCGCTGGACCTCCGCGCGGACGACGTGTCCCCGGAGCTCGCGTAGTCCCTGAGCGCGGCCACCCTCGCGAGCGGCGCCTTCTCCGCGGAGGGACTCGCCTGCTGCTGCGGCGGCTGAGGCGGCGGCTGCTGCTGCAGGTGCGCCGAGTTCCGGTTGTTCTTTTGCTGCACCGCGTCACCCGCGGAGGCCTCCTTGTTGTTCATAATCACAGGGTGCTCGATGGCCAGGGCCTTCTCTTTGGTGATCTCCGCCATCTGGAACAAAGCGGTGAACAGAGTTATTCCAGTATCATTTGAAACCAAAGGCGAAAGAAAAAATGGTGCGTGTGGTGTCAGTGCCCCCGGCCGGCACGCTCTTTTTTGCAACGTTATCGGGCGTCGACGGGTTCACATGGCGACAGATAAAGCGACTCTATCACAAGCACTTCTTACGCCCCTGGACCGCTGCTCGGACACTCACCATGCAAGCTTCGTGATCTTTCCTGTGCATCTTGGCCTCCTTCTCGGCGGCCCGCCTGTCCTTGCCGCGGTGCCGCAGGTAGAAGCGGTTGAACAGCGCGTAGAGCAGCCCGGCGCCCAGCGAGCCCGCCGCGAACAGCCGGTACGTGTTGCGGGTGCCCACGGCCTTCATGAGGAAGCCGCCGATCAGCGACCCGGCGCCCTTGCCTGTCGGAACAAAATGATTAGCTGTAGAGATAAGCCAATACCTGAATGAGGAATACCAAATTATTTAGCTATGTAGATAGCTAAAATTAGCTATTACGCAAAAAGCAAAAAGTGAACTGCATGCATACACGCTTTTTGGCTAAGTCGCAAACAAGTTAGCTAGCTAGCTAAAAAGTTATGTGCTGCGTAGCTACTTGTTTAGCGCTTAGCTCAATTTTAAGCGATAGTTATATTCTATCCATAGCTATTTTTTTTTAGCGATAACTCGATTTTAGCTTCATACCTAAATAATTAGTTATGCCCTATTTAAATAATCTTTTTTGTGTTTTAAAACTACATTGGGGTTTTACTACACAAACTTTGCGATCAAAGCATGTCATGTTGACTGATACTGACCGACTCCGTAGTAGAGGCCGCCGATGAGCCCCTGCACGCTGGTGTCGGTAGACGAGGTGGAGAGCGCCGCGCCATACGTCACGGCCGCCGTGGTGGCGAGGGACGACGTGAAGGACTCCATGGCCTCGAACACGAGACACAGCCAGGGGTTGTATATCATGGAGTATCCTGCACAAGGACAGCAAACACAGAAGCATTTTAATCATCGAGACTTAGACTTAACACGTTCAGCGCGGCTCATTTTTTGTGCATATAAATTAACATGTGAGCGTGACCACACAATGGTCAGGCCACAATAAAAATGCTAAAGAAAATTGCGTTGTTTCTCGTGAGGTGGTGGCTGCGATAGGGGTCTTCCAAAAAAGTACGGCCGTTTTTCTCAGTTCCGGCAGCGAGGCGCCTGCGAGGCTCAGAGTAGGCCAACCCGCAGTACCGGTGTGCACTGTAGGCAAGATATTGCCTACCCACCAGGCGCTACGTGAGCTTTCAAGAGAGGCTGAACTCACAGGTGAAAAGTGGAAAGGCCGTCAGTCCTCGGACTTCCCATTGGACTTACGCTCTTTACACGTTTTACCAGCCAACTTTACAGGTTTGTAAACGAAACGGCGATTGATAGACGTACTTTCCTGGGTGATACCATAGGGCATAGGGGTGAGAGTGAAATAAAGTGAAGAAACGCACCAAACAGGCGGATGGCGTAAAAGACGAAGCCGATGAAGAGCACGTTGGCGTGGCCGACGCGGGCGATGATGGGCCCGCTGAGCACGAGCAGCGGGATCCCCGCGATGCCGCCCACCGTCACCGTGACGCCCATGAGGGAGCGCGAGCCGCCCAGGTCCTGCAGCAGCCAGAACAGGAAGTTCTCGATGTAGCCCCACGCCGTGCCTGCCGGAAGAGGAAATGCGTTAGGTCGAGCTGTGTGATCGGAAAGCGAAGCAGACGCGCCCGAGGGGGCATCAACTTCGACTATTCACGGTGCACCCGCTGGTTAATATCTAATAGGTATTCAGGTGATATTTGCGAATATTCACAAGATATTCAAAATATTCATCGATATTCATCGATATTCATCAATATTCAAGGATATTAATCAACAATCACAGTGAATATTCACTGGTAGTCAGTGATATTCACTGGTATTCAGTGACATTGAATATTTGAATATATTCACAGTTCACCAAATTTCCAAGTAGGTTCCCCCTCGGACGCGCCGCACCCGCACACACACGCACCAAGCAGGAAGCACACGATGAACAGGCAGACCATCTCGACGTTCTTCAGGGCGTTCAGCACGTCGCCGACGACGTTCTTGGCCGGCGCCTTGAACTTGAGGTCGATGCGGAGCATGAGGAGGGCGCTCGCGAGCTTGAGCGCCGCGTACAGGTAGAAGGCCGGCCGGAAGTCCGTGTAGTGCTTGCCGCTGCTGGCGTAGTCGATGATGATCCCGGACAGCGGGGACGAGATCATGCCGCCGATGGAGGCGTAGATCCGCTGCAGGCCGTAGTCGCCGTTGTGCTCGCGGAGGATGGCGATCACCGCACCCTGGAGACGGAAAGGAAGAGAGTCAGACACCGTCACTACATCTCGATGATTGGGATTTTGTTCTTGAGTTTGTCGGTGACTACCTCAAACATGGCGAACGAGGTGCCGCTGATGACACCGACAAAGACGCGCACGGTGAGGTACATCCAGAAGGTGAAGCTGGGGTCGACCTCGATGGTGTCCTGCGCGTTGGAGCAGAAGCTGGCGCGGGGCGCGGACACGAGGCAGCTGGACACGCACTCGGACAGCGAGGAGGCCGGCGAGTGCGGCTCGGCGGTGGACACCCAGGCGGCGGCGCTGCGCCCGGGTCGCGCGAACGCGTCGCTGCAGGTGGCCTCCCTGAGCACCGGCGCGCCCGCCAACCCCGCCGCCTCCGCCGGCCGCAGCCCGGACACCAGCCAGCGCTGGTCCGCGTTGCTCGGGGTGGGCGGACTCAGCGGCGCCAGCGACGTGAGCAGACGCGTGCGCGTCGTTGGCGTGTCCACTGGATTGCCTGGGGAAGGAAACAAGACACACGGCTCCAATTAGCACTACACTTTTCAAAACGCTCTTCATTACTTTTCAGATTTGTTCTGATAATTGGTTTATAACTTTAAAAAATGAAAAATGTTTTTTTCTATTTCAAATTTTAGTCGCGCGTCTGGCTCCTCACCATTAGTAGGTGGAGGAAGGCACTCACCGTGTCCTGGGGGACCGTCGCGGCCCAGCCTGCAGCCCAGCCCCTGGCCCACGGGCGGGTCTGCGGTCGCGGTGTCGTTGCCGGTGCCAGGGGCGGCCAGGCTGCAGGTCAAGGTGTGCAGCCCCGGCGTGGGGAAGTAGGCCCAGGGGCCGGAGTTCTGCCGGGCCAGAAGGCGCGCGTCCGCGGCCTTGCTGCCGCCGCTCATGGGCAGCGCGTACGAGAAGGTGTCGCTGTGGCTCTGGTCCGCGATGCGCAGCGAGAAGCGGGGCGCGCCGCGCAGCGTCCTGTTGAGCTGGCCGGCGTCCGGGAGGTCGGCGCGGCACGACACGCCGCAGTTGTCCAGCGTCACGTTGAGCAGGTCGCCGGACCAGGGCGCGGCGCGGCACGGGTGCGTGTCGGCCCACGCGGCCTGCAGGCTGCCGCCCGAGCAGCCCACCGTCAGGAACACCCGGTCCGGGTACTTGACGTTGTAGCGGCCCACGGGCACGGCTAGCAGCAGCAGCGCGGCCAGCCCGCCCAGGCTGGAGAAGACGGCGAGCATCAGCTGGAACACGGAGAGGGGGGCGGGCGTGAGAGAGAGCGCCGCGAGGGCAGGCAACACAGCGGGCGGCGCGGCGCCCGGGCGGCCTACCGCCTGGAGGGCCTGTCGCCAGGGCGGTCCACTGCCTAGAAAGGCCTGTCGCCGTGGCGGACTACCACCTAGAAGACCTACCGCTAGAGCGATCTAGGGACAAGAAGGCTTACCAGCAGGGCGGTGTACCGCCAGGAGGATCTTCTTGGTCGACCTAACGCCTAGAGGGCCTAATGCCAGGGTGGTCTACCGCCTAGAAGATCTACCGCTAGGACGATCTAACGCCTAGAAGGCTTACCACCAAGGCGGACTACCCCGTCTACCGCCTAGAAGACCTGACGCCTAGAGTGCCTAATGCCAGTGTGATCTACCGCCTAGAAGACCTACCGCTAGGGCGATCTAACGCCCAATAGTCCTACCACCTGGCCGGTCTACCGCCTCTAGAAGACCTAACGCCTAGAGGGCCTAATGCCAGGGTGAGGGTGGTCTGCCGCATAGAAAGACCTACCGTTAGGGCTATCTACTATCTGGTAGGCCCACCGCCGGGGTGGTTTACCGCCGGGGCGGCCCACAGCCAGGGCAGCCTACGGCCCTGGGACGCACCCATGACCCAGAAGAAAGTGCGCGGCAGGGAAATGTGCCGAGTGCGGGGCCGGTTCGGCGCCTGCTGGCCTGGCGCCCACCGCGTCACTCTGAGGAGGGTCATGAGGTGGGGGAGGAGGGGGACAGGGGGCTCGGCGACCGGCTAAACCGGTCCCTGTCCATTGACTCGCGGTTCGTTTGCTCGCGGATCGTCATATCATCTTTGCACCTATGCGCGGCGCCAATATGCAAAAAAGAAGTAAAAAGCCGTGGGCTGTTCGAGCGTGGCGGAGAGGCGGGCGGGGACGCGAAGAAATATATACGACTTGCGAGGAAAAGAAACAAACGGATTTCTGCTTATCGCTTTATTATTAGACACGCTGTTGGAATTGTTTTCGGAAGCGGAATGTTTGCCTCTCTGGGGCTCTTGCTGTTTGCGCTGTTTCGCCCCTGATACGGACGACCGGACCAAGTCGAGAGTAGAATTCGGCGGTTTTCACCAGAACCAGACCAAACTAAATCTGAGAAGAGCGGGGTTTTAGAATGTCTGGTCTTGCTCGGCGACGCGCCGCCGGATGCGACGTCTGACCTTAAAACTGGCCTCGCCGGGGCTGATTTGCGCATTCGCAGATGCAGCCCGTTTGATACCCTTTTTCGTTTTTGTAACATCGTTCGCTCGGGCTGCGGCTGTCTGTATGCCGCTACCGGACCATACCGGACATGGATCCGACATAATCCGGCAACGGCTCGGCAATACCGGAAGTGCATCGAGGCGTCTGCGAATCGGGTATCCACATCCACCCAACAGCGAGGGGCGAGGGCGGGGCGAGCGGGAGGCAGGCGGTGGCGGGCGGCGCCCATGTGTTCTCTGCCAAGGCTGACCGGCATCGGTGCATCGTTGTGCTGGTCATGGTTCGGTTCGGCTCGGTCGGGCCAGCTCACTAGAGACTCGGAGACCTTGTCCGAGCCGAGCAGCACCTCAATGAAGTTCACAAACGAACGGTCACGGAGCGAGACACAGCAGCAGCAGCAGTAACAGAGACAGCGCAATAGTGATTATTTATAAACATTATGCGAAGATGGCGCGGAGATGGAGATGCGGAAGAAAGGGCCGCGGTGTCGTTTGCCGTGCCGAGCGGTGAAGGCGGCGCAGGCCTACACTGTGAAACTGTAAGGTCTTTGCGAGCGCGCAGCCGACACGTGCCTCTCAGTGAGTACAGTAGCCGACAGTAGCTAAACAGGGGCTGCATCAGCGCACGGGAGTGCTGTCGGGAAGCAGGCAGCAAACCGAACAGCGTAGCCCGATTTCAAACGATTTTCACTCTACTTGTTACATTAGTGAACTTTCTCAAGTCCAAAAAATTGTGCTACCTCAACAAAAATAAAATGTCATGTCGCATAATGTAAAAATTAGATTGACAATCGGGTGAAATCGGGCTTTGCTGTTCGGTTTGCTGCCTGCTACCCGACAGCACTCCCTTAAGCTGATGCAGCTAGAGTGGGTGATCTGCGCCTGCGCCGTCCTTTTTCTCTGGTTGTACTGTACTGGATTGAGGCGTGCGGGTGGGCTTGCCTACCGTGCGAGTATGCAACCCGTCCGCGCTCCTAAATCCGGTACAGTATAACCAGAAAAAAAAAGGGACTGCTCAGATCACCCACGCTGTACGCCCCCACAAGGACGCGGATCTTCTCAGGGCAAAGAAGAGCGTGAAAAATATCTTTGGCCGAACTTTTGAATTACCAGTGTAATGCGCGTTGCAATGGGGGAGGGAAAAACTGCCGCACACAATCATCTGATCGATGGTATATATTATTTTTTCTCGTAAGAGCTCTGTCGATCGGATTAAAGACGTGGAGACAATAATGTGATTACATCTCTGCATCCGTGACCCATAGGTACGCGTGACGAACAACATCGCGATAGCCGCCGCGCCGGGAGCAGGGAGCATCGCGGGACGGGACCGCGGGGGAGGGGATTGAAAAGTGTACATTAAGTGTATTGCACACTACGGCGTCAAAAGAGCTCCTCGCAACACCACAAAACTGGGCAAAACGAAAATAAAAGACTGTCTAATAAAATTTGGCTGTAATTGTCACTCCAGCGTCAAGCGTCAAAAAAAAAAAAAAAAAAAAAGGAAGTCAAAAAACTCGCGTTTCAGCTGAAAGTTTGTGCGCTTCACATGAGCGCGCTTCACGGGTATGCGAAATGGGATGGCATAATGTCGGCAAACCTAATAACAAAATGTGAGCAGTGGCGTGGAGCTATAGTGCTGGGATCAGCGAGCGGGCTCGCGTAGGCGACCGTGCCGCAGTATACTAGGGCGGTAATGACTGAGCCACGCTGCGGCCGGAGGAGAAACAGGCGCGACATCGGGGCATCTGCGAACGCCCGTCAGGTCCGTCATCTAGAGCCTCAAGCCCACCGGCCACCACGCCGCCGGGCCCCGTCCAGCCGAGGTTGCAACCAGTATCAGGGGGCAGATGTGGATATACATCGCGCGATAAACATATCTCACATGTCTAGGACTCACCTTAAAGTTTCCAATGCGGTCCGCGACGATGCCAGCCAGGGGAGGCATGACGATGGCCACGACGGGGGTCACGGCCGACATGATGGCCGTCTCCTCCACGTTGATCCCCAGCTCCCTCATGTGGATCGTCAGGTAGGGGTACAGCACTAGGACGGCTGCAGAAGAGCATTGTCACATTCCGTTAGAGACATAGAAGGGGATCGTACAAAAAGATCATTCGCAAATGACACGCCGCGCCGACACTCACTTGACGCGTGCACGAAGAAGAGCATCTTGAGCGGCAAGAGCTCCTTGTGCCGGAAGTCGTCGGCGATCCGACTGTAGAACTTTTTGGCGTACATCTTGGTGACTAGTATGGGGGCGATCACAGTTTGTCAGAAAAATAAAAAATTAAAATAGGGCAAGCGCCTCTTACGGGCGTGCTGCTCTGGCCTGCTGGCCCACACCGCGGGCGTTCTGAGCATGTGGTGGGGCGGGGTGGGGCGGGGTCACCGGGCTCTTGAGGTCGCCACCAGGACGTCCCTGCTGCTGGTCCTCCTGTGATCGGGTTCCATGGGCAGCAAGCGACGCGCCACTGCAACACAAGAAGACAGAGCAGAGTTAATCATGAGGAAATAATGCGAACAAGATAAATATGTAGCACACACTTTTATCGTCGAGATAAAAAGTGAAAACGTCTAATCCCAATCACGCGAAGAGTCCTCGGCCCCAATAAGGTATCAGGTATACCAGCACATCGATCTCTTGTCTGCGTCTCAAAATATATTCGTTTACTGTCAGCAGTTTGTTTGGTTTTCGTGGGTATTTTCTACAAAGAGATGTTTGAGTCTGCCGAAGCAGGTGTGCTCTACCACGTGTGTACAGTCGGACCAGGCTGGGCAGGGCAGGGCAAGGCAGGGCAAGGCGGGGTGCGGCGAGGCGGGGCGAGACGGGGCGAGGCGGGGCGAGGCGGGGCGAGGCGGAGCGAGGCGGAGCGAGGCGGGGCGGAGCGGGGCGGAGCGGGGCGGAGCGGGGCGGAGCGGAGCGGGGCGGGGCGGGGCGAGGCGGGCTAGAGCATAGAGCACGCCCACACTCATGGAGGCTCGCCCGTGGGTGGGTGCGGCCGTCTGCCGAGGAACCTCGCCGAGCGTGTAGCGCCGCAAATGGCGTGTGCGCGCAAAAATCACTTTTGCACTCGCCGCCGCGGTCCCGCCGCGCCCTGACAGGGCGACAGGCGCCGCGCGCGCCGCCCGGGCGAACGGAGGTAAATTGACCGTGTGAGCAAGGAGGGGGGGGGGGGCGTATCTACCCTTCCGCGAAAATGTAACCTCACCCGACCCGGCAACCCCTTCCCCGCTCCTTGCCCTTCGCACTCCGGTATCTTGATCTAGTTGGAGGAAGGGGGCGGGTGTGGGGGTGGTGGGTACATGAAGCAGTTTCAAAGAGGCACGATGAGGCGGAAAAAAAACTCAGATTATTATTACTAATTTTATTCAGATAAAAACAAACCACAGAAACTTTACGGTGGCAAAGCACAGCAGAAGCGGATTTAGGCAGATGAGGTGACCGAAAGACGACCGTCGCCCGTTCCGTCGAGCGGACAGTACCCCAAACCGCAACACTGAGACAACGACTTTCGACCACGACCTTTTGCTGCACCACCAAGAAGATACTGTGTATTTTCGTTAATATCAAGTGATTGCAAGGAATTATTTTTATTTTATAGGTACGCAAGGGTCTCCAAGCCGGTCTGTATAGCCGCATCTCTCCAAGCACGCCTTTCTCCCTTCCAACCTTGACCGCACCGACCTCTACAAGCCAGAACCTCCCCCGCCCCGCCGCGACAGGAGATCCCGCCGACTCGCTGAGCGTCGCCTCGGAGGCGTCTCACCTGCTATCTGACGACTAGAGCAGTCGTAACAGACACAGAAAAAAACTTTTCCTTTAAATTATACTAATATGCTTTATTAGCATAATTATTTTCGAGTGGGAGATAATGGGAAACACTGGGAGTAAAAGGGAGACGAGGTGAACTTCAGGCCAGGAGGACACGACGGCGCTCCTGGCCAAAAGTGGCGCAAAAGATTCCACACACGAGATTACAACAATTGTCATTAAGTCTGATTGTCCGATTTTGGTGACCTCGCACGGGTTGTACCGCGACGAGGCGAGGGCTACCGCGCGCACGGGTAGGTGACACTGGCCGGCGTGGGAGGAAACAGCGAGAGTCGTCTTATTTTGGACAGCCCGCCCAATTACGGCTGTCACATGACATTCTCAACCGAATCCGGGGACAGCAGGAGCGAGTCAACCGGCGAGCGAGTGGTTGGTTGGAGTGAGCACAACACTGGAAAATCTAACGTGACATCTTGTCACGTTACAAGTGCGACATCCTTGGTGTGTCGGATGTGTGGTGTTATTATATTTTTGGTCATGTTTTGCACAGTGTGACCTGCTTAACTGGCCACATCAACTGCACCCACTGACGTGACACATGTCACATTCGTTTTTCCAGCGCAAAGTGAGAGGAGGAGGAGGCGCGAGGAGTTACGCGGTGGTGCTACGCAAAGCGCAACGCAGAGGCGCAAAGCCACGGTGAAGCAGGCCGCGGGCCACGCCACGATGCGCCTAACGCGGCACAGTTTCTTTCGCCCCCCCCCCCTCCCCCTCTCCGGAAGTCAAGCAGCAGCAGCAGCAGCAGTCTGCCA